TTTTTCCTGGTGTCGTACCTCCCCGAGGTTCCCGGGCTCTGCGGAGGACACAGAGGAGAAAATGACCAATTTCTATGCAGGACCATGCAGAGCAGTGACACATATTAAAGCACCTCTATTCCACTTCAGCGCCACGTTTCTGCAGAGGAAATCGCATTAATGCGTTCCCCTCTGCAGACGCAGCAGCGTCTCAGCACTGCAGCACTCGTCCACTCTCCCCGCTCACTCTTTTTATTCCACTTTATTCATCGCTTACCACAGCGACATCACAGATCTCAGGTGAAACAGAAGCAGGTGCAACTGTGAGAAAGTACCCGCCTCCTCCCTGATCTCCTGCTGTTCTGCATATTTGTCTCACTGACATGTTTCAGATCATCAAACTCAGAGAAAACCAGAGTTTTTTTAAACGATGATGTCATTCATCGAGGGAAACCATCCACCTGTCAGCTGTCCTCAAACCTACAGCCTGCTGTCTGTGACCACGTCACTGTGGACGAGCTTTGGTCACCATTGGAGGGTTTCCAGCCTGAACAGGTTAAGGTTTCTCGGCCACTTCACAGCCTTTGTTTTGGTCTTCTGAGCCAATCAGAGGTGGGCTTGCTGCTGTGTTTCTGATTATTGTCCTGCTGCATAACCCCAGTGCCCCTGAGCCTCTGTAACTTCGGGATTTTTGGGTCAAGCAGCTGCAGACCATCACACCACCATGTCTGACTGTGATGGTGGTGCAGATGTAAGAGGACTCAAACACTCCAGGAAGTCATCCACAGAAGATTTCCCAAAGAGAATATATGAAAGGACTAACACGGTGCAGAGGATGTGAGGAGGAAACAGACATTTTATTTAAATAGCAAACCACAATGGAGGGAGGGAAACGAAGAGGAGCTGGCTTCTGTTTCCACTGTAATCGTGTTGATCTGTGTTACACACTCCACCTAACAACAAATAAGCTAAAAATCTTCCAGCCAACATTAAAAAAAAGTCTCTAATGTAAAGTTAAGTCTTTTGTGTGATTTGGTGCAATAAATAAATAAATGAATAATCCAAAAAGTAGTTGTATTAATACTGAAACAAGAAAAGGAGCTAAAATATTCCCTCCAAACATAATGTATGAATTCAAAAAGTCGGCGCCCATCGTCGATCGTTGGACTGACGAATGTCGGTTGGAAACATGTTACGCTTACAGCCTTAAGCAGGAGGCTCCATTCTCATGGTTAGGAGCAGCCAGGTTACCCCACTCAGGACGACAACGCCGGTGCATTACTTACCACACCCACCAGAGGTCGTTTCAAACGTTTCTACACGCTTCGAAGCCTCCAGGTCGGCATTATTGGTCAGATGATGTCATTAAAATGCTTCGCAAGGCTCCAACAGCACAACCGCAAACCAGAGGGCCAGTTCAGGTGAAGCCACAGGCCACGCCCAGGGATGGGAATCGTTAGTCTGCCTATTGATCCTGCTTATCAGCTAATCAGCTGATTTCAGTTCACGTGTCAGAGGAAATGGCGACGCAGTCTGGAGCATATAAGCACATTTTTGGTAAAGTTCAAGCTGCATCTAGGACAGAAACACGAGCATTGTGCTGCTAACACTTCGCTTCTTTGCAACTTGCACATACAGCATGCTAACGCTAAGCTAGCCAAGAACCCAGAGTGAGCAGAGCGAATGGCGACCCCCGCGGCCGGAGCCTGAACTAAAAAACAGGAACAAGCAGATGATGAGGCAGAATTTTTAAAGCAGAATCACCGTGACGATCGAGTTTCTGTGCTGGTTTTCATGTTTGCTTTGAGTTACTAAGACATACAGTGGGGCAAAAAAGTATTTAGTCAGCCACCGATTGTGCAAGTTCTCCCACCTAAAATGATGACAGAGGTCAGTAATTTGCACCAGAGGTACACTTCAACTGTGAGAGACAGAATGTGGAAAAAAAAATCCATGAATCCACATGGTAGGATTTGTAAAGAATTTATTCGTAAATCAGGGTGGAAAATAAGTATTTGGTCAATAACAAAAATACAACTCAATACTTTGTAACATAACCTTTGTTGGCAATAACAGAGGTCAAACGTTTACTATAGGTCTTTACCAGGTTTGCACACACAGTAGCTGGTATTTTGGCCCATTCCTCCATGCAGATCTTCTCGAGAGCAGTGATGTTTTGGGGCTGTCGCCGAGCAACACGGACTTTCAACTCCCGCCACAGATTTCTATGGGTTGAGGTCTGGAGACTGGCTAGGCCACTCCAGGACTTTCAAATGCTTCTTACGGAGCCACTCCTTTGTTGCCCGGGCGGTGTGTTTTGGATCATTGTCATGTTGGAAGACCCAGCCTCGTTTCATCTTCAAAGTTCTCACTGATGGAAGGAGGTTTTGGCTCAAAATCTCACGATACATGGCCCCATTCATTCTGTCCTTAACACGGATCAGTCGTCCTGTCCCCTTGGCAGAAAAACAGCCCCATAGCATGATGTTTCCACCCCCATGCTTCACAGTAGGTATGGTGTTCTTGGGATGCAACTCACTATTCTTCTTCCTCCAAACACGACGAGTTGAGTTTATACCAAAAAGTTCTACTTTGGTTTCATCTGACCACATGACATTCTCCCAATCCTCTGCTGTATCATCCATGTGCTCTCTGGCAAACTTCAGACGGGCCTGGACATGCACTGGCTTCAGCAGCGGAACACGTCTGGCACTGCGGGATTTGATTCCCTGCCGTTGTAGTGTGTTACTGATGGTGACCTTTGTTACTTTGGTCCCAGCTCTCTGCAGGTCATTCACCAGGTCCCCCCGTGTGGTTCTGGGATCTTTGCTCACCGTTCTCATGATCAGTTTGACCCCACGGGATGAGATCTTGCGTGGAGCCCCAGATCGAGGGAGATTATCAGTGGTCTTGTATGTCTCCCATTTTCTGATGATTGCTCCCACAGTTGATTTTTTCACACCAAGCTGCTTGCCTATTGTAGATTCACTCTTCCCAGTCTGGTGCAGGTCTACAATACTTTTCCTGGTGTCCTTCGAAAGCTCTTTGGTCTTGGCCATGGCGGAGTTTGGAGTCTGACTGTTTGAGGCTGTGGACAGGTGTCTTTTATACAGATGATGAGTTCAAACAGGTGCCATTCATACAGGTAACGAGTGGGGGACAGAAAAGCTTCTTACAGAAGACGTTACAGGTCTGTGAGAGCCAGAGATTTTCCTTGTTTGAGGTGACCAAATACTTATTTTCCACCCTAATTTACGAATAAATTCTTTACAAATCCTACCATGTGAATTCATGGATTTTTTTTCACATTCTGTCTCTCACAGTTGAAGTGTGCCTCTGGTGCAAATTACTGACCTCTGTCATCATTTTAAGTGGGGGAACTTGCACAATCGGTGGCTGACTAAATACTTTTTTGCCCCACTGTAGATCTGAGAGACGTGTGTCCTCATCAGTAGGGATGGGTATCGATAAGATTTTCACGATTCCGATTCCATTTTCGATTCCGTTTAACGATTCGATTCTTTATCGATTCTTTTTAAAAAGGAGAACACTAAGGTCGATTAGCTTAGAACTTTGTTTTATATCTTCTCTTTGAACAAGATAGAAATTTAGGAGTAACATGGCCTTACAAACCCAACAGTGAGATCTTAAGAGATCCAGCCTGCGGCTCTTCAATGGGGTGTCACAGGGTCCCCGGGAAAAAACATTGTAAATGTAAAATAATAAAATAAATATTCTTCTGTAGCAATAACAAAGTTTAACATAAATTATTCAGTAGCAATTACACAAGAATATCCAGTAATGTCCCTGCCTACAATTAAACACATTCACTTACTGAAAATCATCTGCTGTGGCAAACGGGTGCAAGCCTTTGACCACAAACTGAGTCTCTGCTCGGTGACATTCGTCTATCCTGGCCTGAAAGGAGACGCTGCCGGCAGACTGCAGCGACAACTGCCAGCATCTGAGCCAGACTCTGTCTGTCTCATCATGGTCACTAAACACACAGTAATAGCAGGTTTTGTAATAAGGCAGATCGCGCTAACATAATATGCACTGTTAGTTGATTATTTACCTGCCGCATTAACGGGAGAGGACGTGCAAACGTTAGCGCTGCTGCTGGGTTGAGATTCACGAGTCTGGAGCGAATTAAAAACATGACATTCATTTAAGGTTATCGCGTGTTTGTGAGCAAATGCTTTTGCATATTCGTAGTGTTTCCTCCCGTAAATGAAGTATCTACTTTGCAAGTATTGCAAGTTGCCCTGTTGTCATCCGTTCTAGTAAAGTATGACCAAACTTTTGAGCGTTTGAGCCGCTTAGGCGCCATGTTTCCTGCCAGGTAAATGACGCTCCGCAACGTAGTGACGTCATTCGGGGCGACTGGAATCGATAAGGGAATCGTTTGCAAACATGGCAAACGATTCCAAGGAAATGAAACAGTAGGAACCGGTTCTCAACAAGAACCGGGTTTCGATACCCATCCCTACTCGTCAGGGAGTCGTGTTGGCGTGGAGCCTCAGGTTTATATTAAATGGTGATTATGAGACAGCGTGTTCGAGCTATATTACAGAGTAGGGCTGAACGATATATCGCATTTGCGATAATATCGCGACATGATCAAGTGCAATTTTCTAACCGCAAAGGCTGCGATTATACTCTGGACATGTCCAAATTCATGGGCTGCATCCTCCTGAGGCCGCATTTGTAGACCGATTACGTCACAGCGACGCGCCGAAGGCTGTCCAAATTACTACCATATCCCAGAATTCATAGCGCGGCCCAGCCAAACTCCAGTTTCCAGCAATGGCGGCCGCTACTAAGTTTTAAAATTACTCATACTAATCTTTCAGGGTCACAAAATAAACTTTTAACATATTTTCAGGCGAGAAAGTAGCTGTGTAAACATCAAATATCTGCTCGGTTTATCAAGATATCCCATATTTGCAAAAGTGCTTCGACGTTTTCAGAGGCGTCTGCTACCCACCAGCTCGACAGCTAGCCGGGAGCTCGAGGGTTACTGATGCGGCCGAGAACGGCACAACTCCCGGCACATCAT